ATCATTTATAAAAGGAACATTAAAACATTGAAAAATATTTCATTTTTCCTTAAAACACGATTCACTGGCATTAGAAGACTTTTATGACAAAATTTCCGTTCCATGTGGTGATCTGTGTGGTTCATTAAAAATAGTTTTCCACATTTCAAAGAGTAATTCAATATGGTTTGGAAGCTTAGATTGGTACAGGGTCAGTCAGAACTTAATGACTGCATTTTGCAGTATGTATGTATATATATGTGTTTGTGTGTTTATACATATACATACATGTATCTGTATTAACGAGAGAGTTGTATAAAATCCAGTGCAGCTCACTATTATGTGTTGCTGCTCGGGGAATGCAAATAATTATCAGTTTGTAGGAAATAATATAAACTTTTCTACATCACCCTCCCCCAGTCCCTGCACATGCACTCTGGGAACTGGACGCTCCACAGGTGTGTGTTTCCACCTGTGGGTTGGAGAAAAAGACAGATCAATTCTTCAGAGTATATTAGATTAATCAAGGCAGATTATATTTTACTGTACAGAGGAATGTGACTGCTTCCTGCTTTTCTCCTGAGAGCAGAATGTTATGGTGACTCAGACATGAGGAGAAGAGAGCAGAAAGGTCAAAGTGCAGGTAACAGCATCCCTTCGAGCTGCTGCCTGCTAAGGACCCTGACCAGAAGGAGAGCAGTGGGAAATTTGGGGAACTGCATCCCCCACCCCAGCACTCTCATTCTGGACAGACACAGGATCGCAACACATCAGACGTGATGTGGCAGGACAATGGTGACAAACAATATTCATAAAAATGCTTTGCTGTTCTACAGTGTCTGTTGTGAGAGGGTCTCAAAGCACTTCGTAGACATTATGGTATGAACCCTCATAATGCCTCTGCGGGACAGGAAAGTGTTACCATTATCATCACATGTTGACCACAGGGAACTGAAGTGCTGGGGACCAGGCTGTGGATCATGACGTTCCATCCTGGACCAAGTGTCCTTTCAGTGACAAACTCTCAGAACGAGGAATAAGGAAAAAAATGACATAAGAACACCTGTGCGTGCTGAAATGCCACTGTTCTAACTACCAACCCATTTCAGCACACAAAGCAAGCTATGGGAATACGTGGTGCCCAGGAACAAATTGTGGTCATCCAGGGCATGGTGCCTTCCCAAAGAATTTTGCTGAAAATTTTCTGTGGTGGTGGCAGAGTCCCTGAAGAGATTTGGCCTAGAAAGGCCTTTTGATGGTTCTTGTGGGACACATCTGCTTGAATCAGTTGGGTGGGTGGAAAAGACGAGGAAATAGGGCTAAGATTTCTTTGGAGGGTTATTGCCCAGGTAAGACAAGTTAGCAGAACGCCTGTGATATTTGTCAGTCAGGATAAGAGAAGGCTCTGAGATCAAATGGCCTGGAGCACAGCACAGCACCTGCATGGGCTACTTGAGTGAAAAATTTCCATATTTGTATCTGGTCCAGCAGCTTCTGAGTTCATGAATGGAACATTTAGACAAAGAATCGAGCTTGAGACATACAGCTATGGAAATAGAAAGACAGGAGTGTTCACCTACCCATGGCCTCACATGGTCACCTCTGGTCCTCTGGCTCTGCCACCTCAACTCCTGGAGATTCTAGGGTGGACTCTCCTCTCCCATGGTGTTCACATATCCCTGCTTGCAGCGGGGAAGATCCTGGCTTTTCTTGGGCCAAGAGTGAATGGAAGAGCCCCAGAACCTCAGTAGGGACTGCCTCCCCATCAGCCATGTGCGTTTCTCTTCTCTTCACAAGAGCCACAAACTTCAGTCTGTGGGAAGATCAGCAAGGGCAATATTTTCACAGGGATTGCCTTCTGTGAAGAAATATTCAGTGACTGAGCTGAGGAGCTTGGAGGTAGTCAGGGGAGAGAAGTGTCCATCAAGGGAAGGGCTCAGGAGATGAGGTGTGAGCCTTTTCTCTCTCATCCTTCCCATGCCATAAACTGCTATCCTGATCCGTAGACAATTTTAGTTGTTGCCCAGAATGATTTTGCCCAAGACTGCATGGTAATGACCATCTGAAATCTTATTTATTCCTTCCCAGCTCAGTTTCCGTCAAACAAAGCCCCAGTACTTCTCACAGATAGAGTCCTTTCTGAACACAGTCTCCATCAGGTGGGGCAGAAGAAAGCTCATGAACTAGGTCCAGCAGCTCCAGGACAGTCTGGCAAAGAGAAAGGCCACATGTCCACCCTACTGATGACTAGCTCTAAATCCCACCAGGGGAAGACGGCACACTCCTCCTGCCTACTCTGCACCAGAAAAACCTGGTGCTGCATCATAAGCCTCTACACAAGACTCAAGCTCATAACAACCTACAATCATTGTATGCTACAGGACCAATGTGTTGGGCTGGGAACGTCATTAAGGCCAGGAGGTGGGAGGTATTTGAGGGGAGGGAGAAGGGCAGAGCTAATTTAAATGTTTAGTGAAGAGCCATGGAGGAAAAGACTCAGTGCGGGAACGTAGGACATGAAGAGAGAAGTACTGTATGGGAATGTGTTTACAGCCTGAAGTCAGTCGTCATTTCACCCGGAGGAGGGAGCATGCCTGCCGTTCGGATTGGCAGCATGGGCGTGTGCATGTGGTGGGGCTTTGAGTGCACACCGTGGACGGTGCATGCTGGAGAGTGTCCAGCACTAACAGTTGCAGCACTGGGTCTGGCTGGTCTTCAAAACCTCTGAGACCCTTTCCTGACCACAGAAGTATCTTCTAGTGTGAGTTAGTTGTACAGAATTTGATAGGAACACAAATACAAGGGGGGGAAAGAAAACCAAAACCAAAACTAAACCAACAAAAAACAAAGCAAAGCCCAATCTGGTTAGAAAGCCAAAGATAAAACCCTCACAAATTCTGGACCCACGAGTCTACATTTTAAAGATTTTACAAATATACAGTATCTAATTAGCATTATATCAGATATACAACATGCCCATTTATTATAATTATGCTGGATATATAATTTATATGCATGAAATGTAACTGTCTTCATGGTTAGGATTGACACTCAGTGGAACTGGAATTTGGAAGGTTTTCTTGGGGGGCCATTACATGGAGAGAAAATCATAGAAAATTACTGACCTGCATTTCGGTAGACAAACACCCTCAGCTTTGTGCTTCTGCTGAGGGCTAGAAAAAGATTTGCTACATATGGAGTTCTAGGTTGTAACCAAGAGGAGCAAATATGTTCAGAAACAGGGGAACTGGGGCAGTGGAAAATGCTATCAGGAAAATAAACTTCTGGGGAGAAATCCGGGCTCAGTGAAATGTGTGGTAGCTTTGCCTTGCAGGGGTATCAGTGGAGTCAGGACTTCCCCCAGCACAGGTCAGCAGTGTGAAGCTGAACAAATTCTGGTGCTTAAAACAAGAAGCTGGAGGAAGAGAAACCCTATTCCTCCTTCTTATTTACATGTTGGAGACACCAAGATACTAGAATGAGTGGAGAAAAGGATCTAACAAGCATTTCAGCATATTTGTGCTTATTGAACACATCAACCCCACTACTTCCTACATTGAGAGAGCAGGCGATTTGTAGGCACTAGTATATTTTTATCTTATGAGTATATTTAATATAAACTAAAACTTTATTTCTCAGCCAGGCTATTCTTGTCCCTAGATCTGCCAGTCCCCTAGGAAAGTCTTCCCTTGAATTTGCTCCAAGGGTAGGAAGAACAGATGTATGGGTGCTGGCTGATATTGAGCGGCCTGGAGGTGATCCCAAGCAGCCAGAAGCTTACCTACTTGCTACAGAAAGGCCAAACATGAGGGCTGGCATGAGGACCGAGAACAGGGCCCCTTCCCACCAGGATAGGGTGCTGCATTTCCTCCTCCCTGTCTTGGGCTGCATGAGACTGCTTCTACTTGTGGCAACTGAAAAGTCCTAAATTCATAAAAAAAATGACATAATGCAGGTGAGCCCTTGAAGGAGCCATCTACTACTATGGCTTTCTTTGACAGAAACTGATGCATGTCAGGAAATTCCCTCTATTATCCCTCACTATCATCTGTTTGCTTGCTTGGGTTCTTCTTATGTCACCGATGAAGGGGTGGCTTTAAAAACAACAACATGGATGGGACTGTCAGAGAAGTCTTTTCAGACACTGAGTTATTAGAGGTTATCCTGGCCTATAAGGCCACTGCAGTACGGGGTGCTGTGGCCACCCCAGTCCTTAATGAGTATCTACAATGCACGAGGTCATATCAAACAGTCACCTCTGTTTTGCTCGCTGTGCGGTAGTGATGGTGGTGTCCGGGAATGTAATGCAGTTGTTCTACTGTGTTGTGCCGTCGGGAGGCGAATGCTTGGCGCTTGGCGGAGGTTGGGTTCATACCTAAGGTATTGTACAAGTTATTTGAGGCACTAGGATGGGAGTGCATTTTTGTCATCCTGTAGCGATCCAAGACGGGTGTTGATACAAAGACATCTGTGTGTGACAATGCCCGTGACATAGACTGCTCGGGGTACCCCGACCGCTCCGGGGAGAGCAGGGGGTCTTGGGAGTGGAGGCGCTCTGCAGACAGAAGCTGCTCATCTGAGAGGATCCGTTCATAGGACATGCTAAACTCCTCGGGCATGATCCTCTCAGGAGACAGCACTCTGTCCTGGGACATGGCCCTGATGGGACGGCGAGGCCTGTCCCTGTGGTTGGTCTGCTGAGACATTTTGATGACGTTGATAGGGAGCGTGCCCCGGGCTGCCAGGTCGGGCAGGTGTCTCCTCCTCATGTAGTATTCATCAGCCTCTTTGTCAGCTGTGGGGAAGGAAAGGGAACAGTTAGAAACGTCAGACTGTTGTCCCACAGGGTGAAAAGGGGCTGTGTACAGCACACAGCCTTGGAGCAACCTCCAGATGAGACCCAAGGGATCATCTACCAGCAGCTGGACCTGGGCATGGACATCCACGTCAGGATGCTGCTGTCAGAGAGACACCAGCCCTGTGTGGGTTATGTGACCATGGGCTTATGGCAGACAGAGAGAGTTATAATTGCATGCAGACAGGTATAAGTCCCTGTGCAGTGCATCACACCTTCTCGCACCATGACACAAGACTCCATATGCTGTCGAGTCCAGACTGGTATCACATGATTTACATGAGTGGTGAGTTATGGAGAAATTATCAAATGTCACCTTCACAATACACTGATAAAGAAAGCAGGGGAAGGTGAGCTGAGGCAGGCAAGTTCCCCATTTGAGGAAACTCATACCTCGTTTCTGGCCTCAGATGTGGATGTGCTCTGGAATCCATGAGTGCCCTCATCACGTTTTTAATTACTATTTTTTACTATTTGTAAATGTGATCACAAAGCAGGCTTGGTGGGCATGGGATGCTCTCTCTGAGACACTGAATCATCTGCCTAAGGTTTTGTTTTCTGTTTTTTCAGACACCTTGATTGCTATCATAGAATTTATCCCATGCAACATTTCTTTCTCAGTTTGCTTCTTTGTCTTAAATAATCTCTTTGTTGCACAGGAACTCAGCACATACACACACACCCCCACACACACCCACACACCCCCTCCGGTTTTTGGCTTTCAGACAAAAAAGGCCTTGGACTTTTTTGGCCTCAGACTCGGGGAGGATGTTGGCTGCTGCAGATGTGCCCTGATATATCAAGTTAATCCTACAGAAGTTGTAATGATCTGATTCAACCAACTTGTAATTTGAAAAAGCAAATCCACAATTATTTCAGATTTTAAATAAAAAACCCCAAAGCAACAGAAACACGAAAACTTTCCAGTAAATGCCTTTGATCTTCATATGCCTTAAACTGGGTTACTGGGATTACCTACCTGGAAGGAGGACTAACAGTCCTTGGGCTTCAAGCCCAGTGCAGCTTGTGAACTGTCATGATGTACCTGTGGCTGCAGAGATGGAAAGCAAGGAACATCAGTCCCTTACCAGAAACATACTGTCATAGTGGAAGAGCACAACACTGGCGTCCCTGAGTCAGGGATGGAGGCATGTTTAATGCTCAACACTGATCATCTGTATGAGCCTTTTTGTGATATGAGACATTTTTGTGATATGTCCAAAGGCATCTCCCATCCTTTCTGGCTCATCAGTGACTTCAGAAGACTCCAGGGTGAAACTCATGCAAGACATCTGGCAGGCAGCCATCCTCTCCTTGGAGAAGACAGCACAACACACACTGGTGTGCAGGAATGGGACTCCTCATGCAAAGGTAAAGCAAATTTCTCCACCTTACAGAGGAAACAAGGTCTCTTGCAAAGTAACCTTATGGGTCCAGCCTGGCATAGAGACTACAGAGTTGGGAACACACAGGTATGACCCATTAAGTACTTTCCCT